CTTGCATCTTTTTTCTTCTAACCTCTTCATTCCTCACGAGGTAATGGACATGATGTAAGTCTGGCATTTCATCCCTTCCCAGAATTTGGGACCTTATGCTCTCATATATTGGATCTAAGCCAACCAAAAATTTAAATGCTCTGCCCTCTTCAATTTGTTTGTCATGCCTTTCCTTATCTCTGGCATTCTCCCAATCAAGAATAAGGTGATGATCTAGTTCTTCCCATAGTCCTTCTAAGGTAGCAAAATATGTTGCAACAGTCATATCCCCTTGCCTCAAGGCAGCAATGTCTTGATTCAGTCTATAAATTCTGGCATTATTTTTTTCTGCCCATAAGTTTTAGACACTTTCTCCCATATCTTGGCAGCAGTGGAGAAATGTTGAACAGTCCTACCTACCCTTGGAGTCATTGAAGCAAGTAGCCAGGACATAATAGTAGCATTCTCCTTACGCCAAACTGCATATTCCACACTACCCACTTCAGGTTCCTTCTTCAGTCCGTCCAAATAACCAGTGAGTTCCCGGGRTGTGATGAAGAGCATGGCTGAAACAGACCATTCTCTGAAGTTGTACTCATCCAACAATACATTAGTGATCTGCAGGCTGTGCAGATTTGGATTCTCCAGATTATGAAACCTCCCACCAGTCCTAACATCTCTAGAAGACACTTCCCTGGATATAGAAGACATCTTCTCCTACTTGCAAAGATCAAAGCTGTAAACACAATATACAAAAAGCTGTTTCAGACTTACGGAACTTGTTGCACTGCAAACTCAGTCCTGAGAACCCGTAACAGAGCTGAAACCACGAGCACCACACGGCTGCACTGTGCTCTAATCACTGCCGTCGCAAACTGTAATCTGTTTTGCTGACTTCTGCTGTGTTCTAATCACTGCTGTCGCAGGCTGTAATCTCCCCTACGACCAGTTCTAGGACTGCCGCAATCAGTCCTCCCACCTAGATCTGTTCAACACAGATCTCTCTTAGCCGAATGGCTACAATCTGCTGTACTGAGTCTAGTAGGGCATCAACTTCTGGGACTAATTCCCCTTGGGCCCTACAACCAAGGGAAACCCTAGATGTAGGTCCTGCTGTGTTCTACGACCAACCCTAGGGTTTCTTGGCAGCAACCAAGATTAGATCTCTGATACCATGTTTGCTGGAATACAGTTGCCGAAGGAGAAGAGAAGAAGAAGGAGAGGAAGATTTGAGAATGGCGGCAAATGAATCTCTCAGCCGGCCCAACTCTATTATAAATAAGTGTATTACACAATGTTACATAAATAGACTAGAATGCCCCTGATTAGTGATGGGACACCTAGACAAATAAAACACTAAATAAGATTAGGCCCAATAACTAAGGCCCAACAACTAATGACTTAAGACCCAACAAAGATAAGCATACGTATTAAGACAGCCGAACCAACAGACTAAAACCAAAGATGGAATCCCTCATTACCCAAAATTAGAGTGCCTTCTTGAAAGGGAGATACTTGGGAGACATCTTAGTGGCCCATGAAATCTTCTACCATATGAAAAGATCAAAAGCAAAAAAAGGGTATATGGCTCTAAAGTTAGATATGAGCAAATCTTATGATTGGGTTGAATGGGTTTTTCTGCAAAGGTTAATGGAAAAGATGGGATTTGGTCAAAAATGGATTAATTGGGTGATGGAATGTGTAACATCAGTCACGTATCAAATTCCAATCAATGGTTCCCCTAACAAAAAAATTCACCCTTCTAGAGGAATCAGACAGGGAGATTCCTTATCTCCTTACCTTTTTCTTCTTATATCGGATGTTTTATCTAGAATGCTCCTTAAGATGACTGTTGATAAGAAGATCTCCGGTGTTAAAATTAACCATGACTGTCCAACTATTTCCCACCTGTTTTTTGCAGATGATAGTGACATTTTCACCAGAGCAGATTTGGGAGAAGGGTAAAAAATTCTGGAACTAATCAGGTTATATGGGGGAGCTTCAGGACAACAGATGAATCTGAATAAATCAGAAGTTTTTTTTTAGCTCAAATGTGCATGATAAAATTCAAAAAATTATTGCCAAAAGTATGCATTTCAAGAGAGTTTTTAAACCATCTATCTATTTGGGCCTCCCCACACACTTTTTGCAGGTCAAAAAAGAGCCTGTTTGACTTTCTAATAACTAGGGTAGAGAAAAAGGCCTTAGGTTGGAAGAGGAAGCTGTTGAACCATGCAGGTAAAGAGGTTTTGCTAAAAGCAGTGCTGAACGCAATCCCGGTCTACTGCATGTCATGTTTTCAGCTCCCTGTGAGTATTTGTGAAAAGCTGAAAAAAGGTTCAGCAAGCCTTTTGGTGGGGTAAGGAGGATGGAGGCAGGGATGTTTGTTGGATTAGTTGGAATCAGCTTAGCAAGAATAAGCTTGATGAAGGGCTGGGGTTCAGGGATCCAGAGTGCTTTAATAAAGCTCTCCTAGCAAAGCTAGCTTGGAGATTAGCTTTAGGAGAAGACGGCCTATGGGCAAGAGTTATTAGGGCAAGGTATATCAAGAATAGGTCTTTCCTCTGTGATGTCTTGCCCAAGTCAGGATCATGGGGATGGAAGAGTATATTAGTGGGAAGAGAGGTCTTAAAGGAAGGAGTGTATTGGGCTGTGGGTTCAGGTAGAGAGAGACATATTCATCTGTAAAGATTCCTGGATTCCAGGGCTACCAAACTTTAAAGTTATTGGACCTCAATTATTTCTCGTGTGAGTAATCTGGTGACTCCCACCAGCAGAAGTTGGAATATTGATCTGATTAACTCCAATTTTACTTCCCCGTTTGTAGAGAAAATCCTTGGAAGTTAAAATCCCTCTTTTTGAGAGAGATGATCAGCCAGTGTGGTCTCCCAACAAGTCAGGAAAGTTTACTGTAAAATCAGCTTATTTCTTAGCAAAAAGGCGAGCTGTCTCCTCCAATGATCAATCTTGTAGAGACAAGAAGCTCTGGTCTGCCATCTGGTCTTTTCTGTCCCTCCAAGGATTAAATCTTTCTGTGGAAAGGTTGTGTAAATGCCTTGTGTGGGCTTGAGGATGAATCAGTTCTTCATGTCTTGTGTTCTTGTGAGTTTGCAAAGCACTGCTGGTTTTGGGGACCTGTCAGTGACCTCCTCCATAACAACCTTAGGGCTGGATCTTTCAAGGAATGGTTAGATAATTGGTTTGTTTTCTGCAACTCCCAGAAAGATGAAAACTAATTTTGAAATCCTATTCGAAACCTTTCTGTGGAACATATGGCTACATAGGAATAATGTGGTATTTAACTATATTGAGCCTAATCCTATTTCTGCACTTGACAGGGTAAAGATGCAGATGCTGGAATATCAGAAGGTAGTAGCTATGTCATCACCAACACAGCCCCTTTCTAGCAGGGTCCACATGTTTTCAGCCTCTTGGTGTTCCGCCCCCCCTCCCATGATAACTGGTTCAAAATAAATGTTGACGGGGCTTTTTGCAATAACGGGAAGGCTGCTATAGGTTTGGTGGTGAGGGATTCCATGGGGCTTGTGTTTGCAGCCAGTTGTCTGTCAGTGGCTGCTCTCCTCAACAAGTTCAGCTTCTGCTCTTTTGGAAGGTTTGATGTTTGCAGAGTCCTTAAAGCTGCCAAATGTGATGGTTGAAAGTGACAGTAAGGTTTTGATTGATTGCCTGAATAGATTAGGAGAAGGAAGTCCAGCAGAGGTCTCTAATCAGATTTTGGACTGTCTTCAAGTTGCAAAAAATCTGAATGTAGTCTTCTCTTTTGTCAAGCGTTCAGCAAACCAAGCAGCTCATGTGGCAGCTCATCACGGTTTGACTCAGAACTACTGTAACTGGGAAGCATGTCCATGGTGGATAGCAAGTCCCGTGCTTGTAGATCTTTCTAATTCTAGCTCGTTTTAAGTGTTTTTTTTGTCTGTTTGTTTTAGTCTGTATTTTTTTTAGTTTGTTTTGTTTAGTCAGTGTTTTCGGTTCTGTGTTGTCTTCTGTAGTTTCTGTTTGCTGTTTTTAATGGAAATCTTTCTTGCCAAAAAAAATGAGACATTATAAGAATGACTAGACAGACTTAGGTTTTGAATGATTGGATGCATTAGATTCCACATACAGCCATAATTATAGAAAAACTCTCATTATAACCTTAAGTTACAGTAACAGACTAGGTTAATCTCGAAATTAAAATATACCTAAACTTCCTCCAATGCGATTCTGAAAAGGATACATAGAAACATCCATATTCTCTACATCCTCTGATGTAGCTTTTATTCCAAAATGTAGGACGGATTTATTTGATACCAAATGGTGCAGGATGGCTATGATGCATTGGTGCATCAGTCTATGCTAGATGTAGTCAGGGCATATCTGCTTAGATGTGAGAAAAACAACTTGAATCAAGGGGATAAATTTGTATCTGTCTACTCTGCTCCATATTGAAAATTTGAAATCACTATTCAGGAAATTGATATACTTGAGACTGTATAGTGGGAGAATCCCAGGGATGTAGCTCAATATCAGAAATTGAAGTAAGGAAACAAAGTATTCTAGTTTCTAGCTGTGTTGAATCCTGAATATTACTCAATCATAAACAGATTCTCACTCATGACAGTGTTTCACTATCACGAGCATAATCCCCTGTCAGAGTGTGGAAACTAGGAGCCTTGTGATGCTACAAGCTGTTGGATCTGATTATATTGCATTGGTTGTTTCATGGGAATTTCTAAACTACAGCTGACTAGTTTTCTAGGAACGTTGGAAATGATATATGTGTTTTAGTTTTACAATATCACGTAATCATGAGTAATTTTGTAAGTCCCTCGTGGTAATATATGTTACTATGCATGTGACAGATACCACATAATTTTCTATTGCCATATTTTTCTCCTCTAACTCTCTCCTCCCTTCTTCTCTTTGCTTTTCTTCTTCTATTCAATTACTTGAACTCATTCATATTTTTGAACAGCTGATGTGCATATGTTAACATTAGTTTCATTTTTCCTTGTGTGCAGTAGCAATTACATTCGGTCTGATGTAAAGCAAAATGTTATCTCATCTTTTCCCCATTATGGGCACTCAGGGATAGTTGAGGCTGCAAGAGAGCTCTTCATGCAAATTGATGGGCAACCTGAAAATGGAGGTAAAACTGTTATGTTTTTTCCATCTATTTTGAATCATATCTCCAATTTTTCAAAAGACTTCTTGATTTTGAAAACTTTGTTCTTTTTTATCTTACTCATCCATATATTGATTGATTTATCATACTCACTTTTTGCATAATGATTTCAGACAATCTAAATTGGATGTTTTGTTACAGAGCCAATTTCCACTTTAGAAAAACTCCTTTTCACCATTCACTTAAATACAGAAAAGTCTCATGGTAATAACCTATCCTTGCTGAATTTTGGCCCAACAGATCTGTCAGGTAGGAATAATGCAACGTTGGGTCTTGCTATCTGGAACATGGGAAGCGTGGGTCCAAGACACATGTACTGGTCATGTCTCTAGACACAATTTTTTTACTCTTGATTGTTATCATTTTAGGAGCTGTTTGGTAACTGCTTATGCAGCAGGAATAAATGACTTATTGCTTTATGCTTAAGTAAATAAAATAATTAAAAAATAAATAACTTGAGATTATGGTACAAACCCAAATTTAGCTTCTGCCATTAAGGAGTTCACAACCTACTTAATAACTTATTCACTAGAAAACAAAGCAATAATTCTTTAAGTTCATCCACTTCAGCAGCTATCAAACGGCCCATTGGAAGGAATATCTGAAATCATAGGATGTTCAGTGGTTGACTGACCTTATTGGTTTTTTGGGACTTCTTCTAGGAGGTAACCCAAATTCTCATAGGTTTTGGAATCTAGTTATTGATAGATTTGAAGAAATAAATAAATAAGACCACCTCGAAATGAAATTATATCTGTTTGAGGGAAAGAACCATTTTGAATAGGTTTACTCTAGCTAACCTTCTGATGCAGGACAGGGTGAGGGTCCTACTTAGGATCTAGTGGTGGTCTTTGTGGGGTGAATGGAGGGCTGTAGGTGTCTAATGATGAAAAATATGGATAGAAAAGCAAGTAGACTTTTCCGTCCCCCAAAGAATAAGGAATTAGAAAGAAAGAGGTGAACTCTTGCTGTTAGTATAAGCAACAAAGAAGAGAGAGAGAGAGATTTCTGGCAACAACCAGAATTCATTGAACCACACTTTATTTCATCCAATCAACTCTCCTTGAACTCCAATTACTATGACTCTATTTTTAGACTTAACGTATAAACCTGAATGTCCCTTTGTAGAATCCAATTTGGACTAGGAAATTGACCAAAAACAACTTCAAATTGTTTTAAAACAAACACAAATCCATAAGTAACACATAAGGACACTTCAATAAGAACTCCAATTCCTAAACAACTACAATAACACTTCCCCAATCCCATTATAACCAACTTAATTTAAAGACACCAGAAATTACTAAAAATAGGAAACAACAAGTTAACTAAAAATAATAATTATGAGAATTACTTAAATAGTATGTCCTATAGTGACCATAAATAGTAATTTTAAAACAACAAAAAACTAAGTAGACCCTACTTTTAATTTTTGCCAATTCTTTTCCCATAAATTTCCTTCAAGATGAGAACGAGGCCAAAAGTCTTTCTCAGACCATTTCTTTCTTCTCTTTAGATCTGTTATCTTCTTCTTGGGTTTCCAAAGAGGCTCAAACTGATCTAACCAAGTGCATGCTGCTCCATTACCTTCCTATATATTTTCTCATAGTCTGTAGAGACAGTGAGAACTAGTTGTAGAGCTATTTTTGTACTTTTACTTCTTTTTTGTACATCTATTTTTTCTGTACACTACCTTTTGTACACTAAGGGAAGATTTGTCCTTTTATTTTCTTTAATATAAATATTTCTCTTAGGGTGTCGATGGTCATTGACACATCACACACCTACCAAACTGCTGTTCTCTCTTTTTTCTCTCTCTTTGTCCTTTTCGATCTGTCTCTGACATGGTATCAGAGCAGGTCACGATCTGATCTGCATTCAGTCTCTTCTCAACTCTTTCTTTTACTGTTTTCTTGAGGGCTCCCTAACAGTATTTGGGAACCTCTCGAGTGCCCTTGAATCTCATTTTCTAGGGCTGCTTTCGATCAGAACTTTACAGACTAGTTTTCTGGACTGTTGCACCATCAGATTACTTTTCCTCATTGGATATCTTTGTAGAGACATCAGATCAGTCAAAAAATTTAGATCTGGTGTCACCCAGAGCAGATCTATTGATTCCATTGGTTTGGTTTGGATCGGCTTTGTTTTAGAAGGGTTTTGATCTACTTCTGAGTTTGGCAGACCATTATAGTTTCCTTTTCTGGACATCGACTGAAAGGTACTTCTTTCTACCTTTTGATTTGAATTCTATCCTTTGTTTGGAAGTGTGCGCTGCTGTTCCTTGTTCTTCAATGGTGTCAGAAAGGACGGATGTTCTCCCTATTAAGTTAAATGGTACGAACTATGCATTATGGAAGTTTAACTTTCAATTCCATGTTGAGGCAAAGGGACTTTGGGGATATCTAGATGGATCCGTGGTTAAACTCGATGATTCAGACATCAAGGCTTTTAATCAGTGGAAGATTGATGATGCACAAATTGTATCATGGATCCTAGGATCAGTTAAAACTGACATCACAATCCTTATGAGAGGATACAGGACTGCCTATGAGATGTACGATTATCTTGAGAAAGTATATCAGCAATCGAACACTTCTAGACAGAACCAAGTAGAAGTTGATATCTTTTTGTACTATCATGGAGAAAGGAAAGTCCAAGAATACTATGCAGGGAAATGATCCATCAGACTATTGTGTGAAGTATATGAAGGAACACTTTGATAGAAGGAAGATTATGTATTTCCTAATGCATCTCATACCTGAATTTGAAGTTGCCAGATCTAGTATCCTCAGTCAAGGAGCTCTCCCTGATCTGGATACTATTTTTTGGGAAAATATTGAGGGCTGAAACCAGATTTGTTACACAGACCACTCTTGATGGAAGGAAAGGTTCCAATATTGATGTTGTTTTCCTAGCAACAAACCAAATGAGGACTTTTCAAGAGTTCAGTGCTATGAATGCAAGGAGTTTGGGTATGTTGTCTCCCATTGCAAGAAGAAGAATACTTGTACTTAACTACTTATTGCAAATAGTTCGGCCATATCATTACAGAATGCCCTACTCGGCCCCAGAAAAGTGGTGGGTCAAATAAGAGGAAAGGAAACTACAAGGCCTATCAAACTACTATAGAGGGATCAAATGCCTCCTCTTCCATTACTTTAGTGGCTGGCCAAAATGATACTTCTGGTGGCATGTCAGAAGAACGGATTTGACAGCTCATGTCCTCAGTCATCTCTTTAGCCTTCTTTGCTATTAGCCTATCTGGTAAGTCCCCAACCTATCACCCTTCACCAAATCACCTTTGGTTTATTGACTCTGGAACCTCAACCATATGACAGGGGCCACATTCGATAAGTATCCCAAACCCCATCTTCCCAATAAACACATTGTTATGGAAAATGGTGAAAAGTTAGATATACTTGATTGTGATGATTTGTATTTATCTACCTCTAAGTCCTCTTCTTTTATTTACCCAAAACTATATTTGTGCCCAAGCTAACCGCCAATTTGATTTCTGTTGGCCCACTTGTAAAGGAAGGTAACACTGTTTCATTTTATTCTAATGGTTGTTTGATACAAGATCAACAAACTGGGGAGGTGAGGGGTAGGGGCTTAGATTGGGATGACTATTTGCTCTGGAGTTTGAGAAGAATAAGGCTGATCCCATTTCTACTTCATGTTTGCTTTCTACTACTTTTAGTTTTGAGTCTTTTAATTGTAATAATGATTGGCATTTGTGGCATAAATGCCTTGGCCATCATTTTTCTAAGAAACTTGAGTAGTTGTTTGCTCCCGATAGTTTACCAGTTTCTACACATTCTTTTAAGAATGTTAATAAAGATTGCATTACTTGTGGTTTATGTAAAAGTCACATTTTATCCTTTCCTTCTCATTTTGAGCATGCTTTAGTTCCTTTTTATTTAATACATAGTGATCTTTGGTTGTTTCCTGTTATTTCTCGATTGGATTATAAGTATTTTGTAATTTTTATTGATGACTGAACTCGGTTTACTTGGGTTTACTTTATTCGAAAAAAATCTGAAATTTATTTTGTATTCAAACACTTTCATGCTTATGTTGCTACCCAATTTGATGCCAAAATATGTGTGCTACGATCTGACTCTGGGGGAGAGTACTTTGATGGGGATTTTCAAATCTACTTGAAACAACATGGAATTCAATCCCAAAAATCCTGTCTGGGTACCCCACAACAAAATGGGGTAGCAGAAAGAAAGAATGGGCATATTTTGAATGTAGTGAGAACCTTATTACAAGATTCCCATGTACTCTCTTGGTTTTGGGTGGAGGCGGCTAGCAAGAAGAAGGTGGTGACATGTCCAATTGGGTTGCACGTGTCTAAAGAAGATGTAGAACTCAAGCCCAATGTTGGCCTTCCTATTAAGGAAGGTGGACCGTCAAATAGAGGCCCACTTAGCTCTAATTTGTTGTTAAAAATTGGTTTTTCAAATTATGTTGAATTTATTCAAATGGACAAGATGGGGGAGGAACGTCCTACGTTGAAGCACTTAAAAGGGGGGAGAAGAAGGGAGGGATAGGCGGATAGCTATTGAACTAGGGGCTAACCACCCGGTTGGTTCGTTTTGTAAGTCCCCACCATGTGATGACTTAAGGTGCACGTGTAAGAGATAGAGAGGGTCGACAGGAGATGGCAAGGACGGTCTAGCATCATCTCCATAAATTTCTAGCAGTCGACAAGGGGCAAATTCTTCACAGTTGCAGTGGGTTAATCATTCCTCGGCTATTCGTGATAGGCCTAACCCTTGCTATACATGGTCCAAGGAAGACTGGAGGGAAGAAGAGGATGAGCATTGGATTAACTATGAAGATTTTAACAAAGAAGTCTTATCTGAAGATGATTTGAGTATTGAAAACGTTGAAGGCACAGTCCAAGTCTGTTTGAACAATGACAATGACCTTTATATAGGATCTCTCTTTAAGGGAGA